GTCCAGCACCAGCGAATAGTAATTCTTGAAGGTGGACACCACCTTGAAGGGAACATGGGGTGACAGGGTGCAGGTCACCTGCCCGTTGGCGCCAGAGTCACGGTCAGACACGCTGATCAAAGCGATGACGGTGCCCACCTGAGCATCCTCTAGCACCGGGAGAGACAGTGAAGTGACAACCACCTCCGGTGAATTGTCATTTTCATCCAGGATTTCGACTAGCACGGTGCAGTGACCAGCCATAGGTGGGTTTCCTTTATCTGTAACATCTACATGAATTTCGTAAGTGTTACTGTCCTCAAAGTCGATAGCGTCATTTACTCTTATTTCTCCTGTCCTTTCGTTCATTAGAAATTTCCTTCTTATGCTGGGTGTAACCAAAGAGCTAAATGAGTACATCAATTCCTTGTTTATTCCTTCATCCGCATCGGAAGCATTTAGCCATATTACTAATGTTTGGTTCGGTGTATTTTCATACATCTTCACTTCATAAATAGACTGGTCAAATACGGGGGCATTATCATTGGCATCCAACACCAGGATCAGCAGAGAAACAGATCCAGTAAGCTCAGGTTTGCCTCCATCAGTTGCCGTTAATAACAACAAAAGCTGAGCATTTTCTTCACGATCCAGCAGTTTTCGTAGAACAAGTACCGGGAATTTGCCTTTGTCTTTCTTGTTTATAATATCAAGAACGAAAAACTCGTTGGGACTGAGTCTGTACGTAAGCATTGCGTTTTGTCCAACATCCGCATCAGATGCGCCTTCTAGTGGAAATCGAGAGTCAAGCAGTCGCGATTCCGCGATTGAGAGCTTTTGCTCTGAGACGGAGAACACCGGCGGGTTGTCGTTAATGTCCGTCACCTCCACCTCCACGTGGAAAACCCGCAGCGGCCTCTCCACGATCACCTCCAGGTGGATGCTGCACTCCGCGCTCCGCCCGCACAGCTCCTCGCGGTCGATCCGAGAATTCACGAACAAAATGCCATTCTGCAGATTCACCTCCAGAAGGTCCCCGCGGCCCTTGGGCGCCACGCGGAACAGGCGCGGCACCAGCTCCGCCAGCTCCAGCCCCAGGTCCTGCGCGATGCGGCCCACGAAGGCGCCGTGCTTGGCCTCCTCGGGGACCGAGTAGCGCACCTGGCCGCGCCCGGCCTCCCAGGCTGCGAGGAGTAAAAGCGAAAGCAGCAGGCGCCCGGTTCTCAGGTCGCTGGGTCTGAAGACCAACATTATACGTACCTTTCCCCCGTTTTACAAAATCCATGAAGCGGCCAGCGGTCTGGAGGACTCACAGGCTCTGAACTCCTTACATTCAATTTTATCGAAGTGGCTGCGATCTCAGAATGAAGCTCCTTCCTAGTCCTTGAGACACACAGGATTGCGCCTTTGTTCTAAAAACCCATTTTGTGGAGGACAGCGACATCCGGTGGCTTAATGTGTAAGTACAATTCTATTAGTTAACTTCTCTTTTATTCAAATCTTTTTCCCCTCCATGATTTGATACTTTAATTCGGCAAGGGCACAGTTCAGGTGTGGGAGGGCCCACCACCGGCCCCCGTGGCCTGCAGCCAGCCCTTCGCGCTCATGATTCAGGGGCACAGCCACTCCCAACACAGACTCAAGCTCTCACACACTCCCTCCAGTACTCCTAGGCGACCCCAGGGTCCCGCTGCCCTCCCAGCCTGCAGAGAGGAGTCTCAAGAGCAGTCCTCCCCCCTACTAGCACCCAGGGCACTCACAGCCCATCTTCGATTTTTTGGTCCCTGAGGGGGGTCAGACTGGGAGGAGGACAGTGCTCCAAGGTGGTGGTGGCCAGGTGGTGGTGGCAGGAGCTGGGGCAGGAGAGGAGGTAGAGGGAGCTCCATGGGTCAGGGTGGGCCAGAACCCCTCAAAAGGTGAGAACTTCAGGGGGCTGGTGGGGAGAGGGGAGCTGCTGTTGAAGTGCCTGGGGGAGCGCAGCTTGGGGGGAAAGGAGAAGCCCTCCTTGATGCTGCCCAGGTCAGAGGGTGCGATGCACATGAAGCCCAGGAAGGCCCAGCTGTCGCTCCCACCAAGGGCCGTGTCCTTTGGACAGTCATTCTGATTTTACGTATTTGTATCTCTATGGGCTGTCAAAGTCTCACATTATGTCTCTTTTGTGAATAACAACAATCTCTGTGCATTGCTAATGCAAATCCCTAGTAAATGGGCAAAAAGAAACTGAATTATTATTATAATTAAAATGACTCAAAAATGTATGATTTCCACTTTCATAGACAACTACTTTTATCATTGTTATACTTAAGCTGTTCAAATACCTCAAATATACAGTTTTGGAATTATCTAATAGTTTTATCAGTGTCGATAATTTTTCATCAACATCTGCCATAAAAATATTTTCTTGGAATCAAATATTCAGTAACTTAAGTTCTCCAATAATATATGTATGCTACTGAAAAAACTTAAAGTTTCTCTCCCCGCCTCCCCCCCCCGCAAAAAAAAGGAAAGCTTAATAAGACCTTTGGTCTTGTCCAAGATTAGTTTCTTTACTTTAATGATGTTATGATTTATAAAAAGAGACACTTTTAACAGATCAATAATTTTGAACTCTTTTAGTTGTTATTTAAAGCTGAAAATAGAGCAACATTTATGAATAAGAAAACTGATGGGAATGAGGGTTACTGGGTTCATTGACATGTGTGCTACTAAATTCTGTTTTTATACTTCTCCACTCATTTAAAATGATTCTGTTGCCAAAGTCCATTCAAATGCTGATTTTAAGAGTTACTTTCTTATAAAGCATAAATTAAAATGTAATGAGTTATCCATCCATCCACAATACCAATGTTCATTTTGAACTACTATCTGGAGTCTCAAAATAAGTTTATCATCGATTAATCATTCAATGCAAGGTAATTACATAAACCTAACTTCATTCCTGTTAATGTGCATAAATGTCTGAAAATAAATTTCCAATAATAAATAAAAAGTAGGGGTAGCTAAATTACATCCCAACATATAATAGGAACTTGCTTTGCCAAGCATCTTATAGGGCTATTGGATCTAAAACTTTAGTTGGATAAAAGTCACCCAAGGTACTTGTTAATATGCAAATTTGCTAGTACCTCTTATTACAGAAATTCTGAGGTGGAGTATGGGAACCAGAAGGCCTTCAGGTGCTGCTAATGCAGTTAGCATGATCAGATCTAATAAATGGTTGACCACAGACACCAGTTTGCCTGGAATAATTGTTTTATTAATGCTGTGGTCTTATATACTTATTTATAGTGCCCTGTTTAGTCACAAAAGTGTCTGAGATTGGCTCATAACTTAGTCAACTCTATCTAGAAACTCCAACCTAGGAACTGGCATACAGGAGCTTCACTGTTGCTTTCATGATTCTAGCTTGAGTTGGGGAATGCTACCTACAGAAGCACAGGGGGACAGTTATTGGGCACAGTACCTCCATATTTTTAACTTCCTGGCTGTTTTGAATCCTAACCTTCCTGGATCCCAATGTACTCATACTTCCTGATGACTGATAAGATAGATGTTCACTTATCCTCTGAAAATTTACATATGGCGACAGCCCATATTCTGGGAGAGAATAAAAATTACTATAAAGGACTAAATTACCAATTATGTCAACATGGTCATCAGTAATAAAGAATAAAATGTATTTTTATAGAAGATAGACTAAGTACTTAATAATAATACTAGCTCTAAGCAATTAAAGGTGGGGTTTTTTAAGTGGATGACATCTGTACCACTTCTTAATCAATATAACATATTCAAATACCTCAGCCCAAGTTCAAGTAGCATATGGAATCGGGGGGGGGAAAAAAGCTCAAGGACAGAGATATGTGAAGGTTTAAGTCTAGATTTTAGGTGAATTGTGCTGATAGACATAGACAGGTTTTACCACAGAAATTCAGAGACTATTCAAGTTTTCAAGGAATTAAAATAAAAAATAGATTGTTCTGTAGCATATGCCAAACATGTGTTCTACAGAATGAAATTTTAAAAATAACTGAAATATTTAATCTTACTTTCATTTTCATGGTTATACTATTGTGGCTCTATTCTCAAAGCCACTCTGATCTTTCTCCACTGAGTTTCTAATTAAGGAATACCTTGTAAAATACCTAACAAAATAAAAAATAAAATAGCTGAATAGAAATATTAATCACATCACAAAAACTCCACAGAAGTACAAAGGAAGTTTTAAAAATATAAATTAGAAAACAAATGCTTGAGCTACCAATAGAGTATGAAGAACCACCGACTTAAGCTACCAGTAGAGTATGAAGAACCACTGACTTGAAATTTATATTTACAGCTACACCATCAGATATCCAGATTTCTGTCTTTTGGAATATTAAAGAAAAAGTAAATACTCATATAAACTGGTAGAGGTAATTTTTTAAGCTCCAAACTATAAATTTCAAGAGAACTGAAACTGTAGAACATAGTAGATCTTTCATGTCCAAGCATTATATCATTACCAGAAATTTTCAATCTGAGAAAGTCTTCTTGAAGAAAGAAAATACCAGTCAGGAAGTATTTTGTCCAATATCAGATAAAATATGAATTTCAATAAATTTTCTAAGTGTAGAAAAGATTCTCAATCAACATTTTCTTATGATCTACATTGTCAGGCATAGAGAAACATGTTTTACACAGTTTTGATAAGAATTATATTTGTAACATTTATTGTTAGAATTGGATTCCTAAAGCTAAAGCAACTATTTTCAGGTGTATCCTGGAGGTTACTCACTGAAGGTATAAACACTGAGTAGTGCTGACCAACCATGTCTCTAGAAATTTTCCATCCACAGAAAGGTAGAAAATTACAGAGTTGACTAGGTAACAGTTACTACGTGTTTCTGCAATGAGGTTTCTGATAACCAGTGCTATTAAGCTAAAATATTATCCATACCTTAGAAATTAATAAATGATAGAGTGGTGTTGAAGTTCACTTAATGTGTAACAATTAAATTTATTTTCACCAAATAGTTTTCAGGTACACTGACATCACAGCTTTAGTGATTCAATATGACTCCCATAACAGGTATTAAATGAAAGAGGAGTATTTTCTGGAAAGGTGATAGGTTCCACTGGCTTGATTCTCTGTGGGCTTGCAGGTCCAGACAAAGCCCAGAAGCCTACGGGATACAGGGAGAGGCACCTAATGGGTGTTTCTCTCACACGTGAATGTTTCTCTATTTCTCCCTTCCTCTCTCTGAAGTCATTTTTTTAAATATATCCTCTAGTGAGGATTTTTTTTAAAAAAGTAATTCAGCACCTAATGAATAATTGTTCAATGTATGGTGTATAATGATTTTCTATTGGAAGTGGAAACAAGCAAACAGTAGTTATAAACTTAAGGTATTTACTTTCTAGCAATAAAATTTTAAATGAGCCAGATGAATAAAAATAAATATGCAAAACTGTTTAAATGTACTATATAATAAGAATATTTTCTAGAACTAAAAATATATATTCATAAATAAAATATAAGAGCAACCTACCTTCGCAGAGGAGTCAAAAGAAGCTTCTGGATCTCCCGTTGCAACTACAGATCCAGGGGGACCTGGAGGAGGAATGCTGGGGCTGAAGGCCATGAGGTCCATCTTGGGCGCGCCCTCCCCAGAGCACACCCGCGGCCGCCTCTGCTGCGAGGCCGACCAGCTGCCCCCCGCGCCCGGGCACACCAGCCTGGGCTGCCCCGGCCCGCACGCGCCCCCGCTCGGCGCCGCCGAGCACCGCACGGCCGTGTACAGCAGCAGCGTGAGCACCAGCAGGCTGGACACCGCGCAGATGGCGACGATCAGGTACACGTTCACGTCCACCAGCGCCGCCTCCGAGCCCGCGGCGCCCGCAGACGCCGACACAGAGGCCTTGGGCGCCTGGCCGCCGTCCACCAGCGACAGCAGCAC